CAGACCGGGTTCAGGGGGGAGACAGGTGGGTGGGTGTCATGGAGTTAAAGCCCCCTGCCTCCTGCTGCCGTCATGCGAAGGGAGTTTGGGGACGCAGAGAGAGGCCGGAACCGCTCCGCTCCAGGCGACGTGTTGACAGCAAAGTCCCCTGGACCCACGTCTGTTATCTTGAGCCAGGAAGGGCGGCTGCCGTAAACCGCCAGGTATTCCGACAACTGGCAGGGAGTTTTCCTGGCTGTTACCTCTCTTGCGCAGTATTGTTCTTCGAGCTTGTTTAATCATTGTTCATGTGAAGCCCTTTCTTTCTTGGACTTTGTAGCAATCTGCGGTCCTGGGGCACTTTGGGAACACAGCAGTGATTGCGGCGGTGGCCCGTCTGCCGGCTCCCCTAGGCTCTCACTGAGGGTGGCGGGGTGGCTTCTGATTTGCTTCGGTTTAGTTTCCCCTCCGTGCTTCTGCACGGACCTCTGTTAATGTCACCGTCGTCACACGTGGGAGTATAAAAGAAACGGGGCTCCTGGCCGCGTGGCTCAGCGGGAGGGGCATCATCCTGCGAACCGGAAGGCCGTGGGTTCGATCCCCGGTCGGGGCACAGGCCTGGGTTGCAGGTTCAGTCCCCGGTTGGCGCACATGTGAGAGGCAGCCCACCAGTGTTTCTCTTTCTCCCTCCCTTCCCACTCTCGGTCACCAGTGAGAGGAAAAACCTTACAAAAGCGAAATGGGGGTTCACCTCCAGGAATTTTTGTTTCACTTTTGCCAGAAAGCAAACGTAATAATAATAACAACAACAACTGGACTGGACTTGTAATGATTCTGAAGAATCTTTCTATCCATCTTAAGTCCTTAGTCCCAAGATTTCCCACAGGGGCTACGCGAGATCGCGTTCCCTGAGTGATTCACAATGCGACAGCCGCTTAGGCGCACCCTTCTCAGGGGCCTCTGCGAGCGCGTGGAGCTCCCCCAGGAAGTGACCCCCGGAAAGCACCTGTTCCCTGTAAACTGGGGACTGCACGCTTCCGCCTCCTGTCCTTGAAGGCGGCGGTTGTCTCAGCCACCGATGTCCCGCCGAGGCTCCCCGCCGAGGCCCGGCACCCAGGCTCCTTGACCAGACGTAAGAGTGGGCGCACACCCGCTGTGCGCCCCCTGTGCTTGCCCGCAGAGCGTTTCCCTCTGCGTCTCTCTCTCCAGGCCTCAGCGCAGGGAACCGTGACTCTGGGCGGCTGGACGGTGGAAAGGAAAAGAGAGGAGCAGCCAAAAAGGCTTTGACAAGTTAGACGTGGGCTTGAGAAAGATCTACACATTTTTCTTCCTCTAATTGCTTGCCCACTGCCCTGTTCTTATGAGAAAGAGCACGTTTCTAATGATTAACCTTCTGGGTTGTGGGAGCCGAGCTTCATAACAATACGAGGCTTGTGTGCCTTTCCACGCTCGTCTACAACGTCAGTCTAAATAGCTTCTCCGATGAGTAACTAGGTTTCTGAGATAAGCCTGCCTTTTATTACAGCTGATAATGCAGGATTGTATGGGTTGGTAATTGCTAAGTTCTAGGGAGTAACATGCCATCGGTCACCCCTTCGCAAATGTCCCCCCTAAATTGTTTATTGACAGCATTGATATGTGAACAATTTACTCCAAGATCCAGGTTGTTTCTCTTCTGTTCCCCCACCCCAACTCTGCTTTATAAAGAAAAAGTATCTTCTAAATGACCAACACTTCTTATCTCGAGATAAGGAACAAGTTGTTCATCAAATTGACCCTGTCCTTTCATTCAGAGCCACATAAAAACTGTGTCACCCAGCGCCCTGCAAAGCCATGTCCCCGCCAGTTCCCAGATAACAGAAGAGGTGACATAATCCATTATGGAAAATAATGAAACAAAAAGTTGGCGTGGAACACCTCCTCGGAGAGCAGCAAAACAAGGCATCAGTGGCGCGGGAGGGGTGTTCAAAGTATAGTCAGTCACGAAGGTGTCACCAAGGGCCCCTGCGGAGGGTCCCACGCACAGGACAGCGCGGCACAGGGCCTCCCTCGGCTGCAGACTGGACGGCCGCTCGCTCCGCCCGGGCCCGAGGCCGGGGCCGCACAGGGAAGGGCGGAAACGTGCAGGCCTGGAGGCAGCTCGATCGCTGTCCCTTCGCTTCGCTAGCGCTTCTCAAATGCTGCTTTTTGCCCAGCTTCGGGGCAGGCGCTGCACCCGCGGCAGCTCGGCCGTCCGGCCCCGCCCCGAGGGATGCAGACAGGTGACCGCGCCCCCACAGGACACGTGCACACGGGGCCGTCACAGAGACCCTCGGGGAGACGCCAGGAAGAGGAGAAGACACGCACCACCAAGCACCAAGTACGCCACCGAACGCCACACGCCGACCGCGGGAAGCAGACGCTCGCTGCGGCCGTGATCCCCGGAGCGGCAGAGGGACCGGGAAGCAAGCCAGTTTGGGAAGCCCGTCCTCCTCCGCCTCCCGCCCCTGGACCTGGGCAGAGGGGGGCAGGACAGTGCCAGTCCCCAGTGAGGGACTGGAGGCTTCAGGAGAACAGAACCTTCTTCCCTCCTGCCTGGACGGCTGGCCGGTCTCTCTCTCTCTCCCTCCAAACACAGAGTCAGCAAGAAGGACCGAAACCTGGACACCCGCTCTCGTTCTGAGCGTGACACGAAACGACACCCTCATTTGCCGGTATATGCGCAGCATCCCAAAAAAACAGGCGGCCAGGAAAAGTCCGCTCTTACCTTGCAACCGGAAGGATCGGCGTCCCGCGAAGGCTGGGCTCCGTCGCGGCCCACAGAGGACGGAGAACCTGCGCGGAGGCTCCACCCGCCCCTCGCGCTCGCCTCCCGTCGGCGCGGCCACGGGCACGCGCTCCGCTCCTCCTCCACCTGCGCAGAGGAAACCAGACATGCGCTCGCTGTGTAAATGGGCTCAGACACTGGCGTGCCCCCAGGAGCCCCCAAAGGCACCGTGGGGACCCTCTGTTCTCCCACCCACCTTGAAATTATCTGCAACATGAACATGCACGGGAACTGTTTCCAGGGAGACTGTCGCAAAGGGCAGGATCGTCGGGCTCCCCGCAAAGAGAGCTAAGGAAGCCACTGAAGCGTCACGTCACGGGAGAGAATACGTCACGGAGCCGTATTGCCCGCGCAGGCCGATACACTTCAGGTACGATGCCAACAGGGTGTCCGCTGTCCTGAGAACGCAGTGGAACCCGCAGAGCAGAGCGCCCTGATTGGAAAGCGCCCCCAGCCTCCGAGGCAGGCGGTCCCTGGAACCGCCTGGTCTGGGGCTGAGACCTGGTGCGGCAAGGATGCGGGGCCGTGGCTTCTGGTGCCGACTCTTGGCTGAGGACGTTTCAGTGGGTCTCTGCCACGGCTGCCCCCTGTCCGACGGGCGGCACCGCACAGCACCCTGGAGACTCCCCGCGGAAACAGCGAGCGGCGCCTGGGGAGACTGCCCCACGAGGGGCGTTCGCACGGGAGGGGCAGCGCCGAGCCCCTCACCGTACGGCCCAGGCCGGGCGCCGGTACGTCTGCTTCCTCAGCGAACGAAGCTGTTAGGGTCGCAGCCGCCTGGCTGGCGGGGATGTCGAGGCCTCCTGAGCACAGAGCCCGGCTGGAGCTGCGGCTCTGCAACGGCCTTTGTCCGTCGGATAGATGTGTCCCCCCGTTTGGCATAGAGTTTCACACTTTACAAAGGGAATTTCCTTCCTAAAACCTCACGTTCCCCTCAGGACGAGAACCATCCTGTATTTTCAGGTGAGACAATGAGGCTTAGAGAAGTCGGGGACCTAGCCAAGCTCTCACAGGCGGAGGTGGGATGGCTGTGCCTCAACTCCCAGTCGGGGACCCTGGTCCCCGAGTCCTGGGCTCACGGAAGCAGCCACAAGGCCATGTCCCTGCTAAGGTGGGAGCGGAAACTCCCTAAGAAGCATCCGACTATCCAGAGTGCCGTGGCGCGGCCACATAACAAGGGATCTGTTAAGAGTTAAATTTATTTGGTTCATAAAACTTCAGCGCCTCCTGGCGTAAGCTGGAGGCGGCCCGCGTGTGAGCGGAGGAGAGTTTGGGCAGGCCGCGGACCCTCTCCACGGCCCCCCACGGATGCCGGGCCTGCGGCCTCCAGAGGCGCGTCCCGCGAATCAAATCTAAAGCCAGGCACAAAAGCGCCGGAACCTTACAGTCACCAGGTGTCGTGTCTGTGAACACGCAGCGCCTGCCGAGACACGGCCGCCACCTCTGCAACACACGGGCCTTTGGCTGGAACAGATTCCAACACACAGAGGCAGCCGCCACCCATCGCCAGGGCGATGGGCGGAGATGGGGCTGGGGACTGCCCCTCAGGTGTGCTTCAGTCACAGATGCATGCGTGCGGTCCCCGGCAGGGCGAGGCAGTGCGGATGGAAGGCCCACCGCGTCTTGCCCGTTGCTCAGATACAGACAGTACACACGAGGGAGCTCACGGGCAAACGGAGTCCTCACGCACCGGCGGGGGACCGCAGGGCCGCACGGCTCTGCGCAGTCTGGCACCGCAGGGACGCTCGGTTCTGCAAACTGACAGCAAACCGTGGGAGGGCGCCTCCATCTGCAAAGTCACCAAGGCTGGCCCGCCAGCTGTGTTTTGTGCCAATCCTCCCGGCCCAGCAGCTCGCGGGCCCTCGTCCGTCTCAGCCCCGGCTCGCGGAGTTAGCCTCCGGAGGCCTGAGCTCGCGCTGCCGGGGGCCGCCCCAAAGGGGGTTGCTGAGGATGGTCCGAGGAGCCCGGAGCCCCTTTCCCCGGCCGCGCCCCAATTATAAATACTTCACGTAAGCATTTCTAGGTGGACGGAAAAGTATTTGCCCAGGTGAAAACTGTGATTTTCAGGAGCGGTGCCGAACACACTGCGCGTCCCTTCTTGGGCGGCCATTGGCGGAGACCTCCCCGCTTACAGGGGGCTCTCCGCTGGACAAAGGGTATGCAGAAACACCACCGTGGTGCGTAACCGTGTTGGTCTTTCCCGTTTTTGCTGCAGGTGGATGACCAGATGAAGCTGCTGCAGAACTGCTGGAGCGAGCTCCTGATTCTCGACCACGTCTACCGGCAGGTGGCTCACGGGAAGGAAGGGTGCATCTTCCTGGTTACCGGGCAACAAGTGAGTGCAGAGGCCGGGAAGTGTCTTTTTATGAAGCGTGCTCAGAACAGCAGGAACGCAACTGGTTCAGGAGCGCTCTTGTGCTTGGGAAGGGTGGGACTGGCTGCAGGCAACGGAGAAAGCCGGCCCGCGCGGTGGTCCCGCCCCGGTGGTCACGGCTGAACTTGACCGAGAGGACGTGATCGCAGACACGGCCGCAGCCGGCCTGCGGGCTCCGAAGGGTCGAAACGGGCGCCGGGTCAAAGTGAACAAGGAGACGCGGGGCTTTTCCCTCGAGCTGCTTCTACCGTAACCGACCAACACTTGTTTCACGTGTGTGTCAGCGGCTAGCAAACCAGTTGTGGAACCCCTAAGGTTTGAGGTGGAAGAGATGGAGTCAAAGGTCCTATCTAATCTAAATATGTGACAAACCGGCAGGAGAGCAAGAAGGACACAGGTTTCATTTTCAAGAGCAGGTTGTCGTTCAAAAGGAAAAAAGAAAAAATTAGTTTTGGGGGTCATTCTAAAAGAAGAAAGGATGGAAAGAAAAAACACTGTTGGTTCCTAGTCCCTTTTGAAGAGGTGTTTTTTCTGTCAACAACTATTTGTGGAACGTCCTGTTCTGGGGCTTCGTCTCGTATTAGCGAGCGAAACGGGAAAGGTGGGTGCCCTCATGGGAAGTAGGGTTTCCGCACGGAGCAGCGGACAGTAAATAACCCCAATAGGTAACCCTCTACTCGGGCAGAGACCAGAGCTGTCTGAATGGAGTAAACAGAGCAGGGCAGGCGGCATGCACCCGAGGCCCGAGAACGCCGCGTCACGCACCGTGGTCGGTGCTGGCCTTGGCGCAGACTTGACAGGGGAGACAGGTGGGCCCTGGGGGAGCAGACACCCACTCAGTTCTGACCGTACGGGACTCGGCCGCGCCCTCACGTTTCTGACCCTCCCTCCGGTAAGCGAGGTGTTATTAAAACAAAGGCGAGGGTCACCGCGGTGCCGTCGGTGGATGGCACTGTCCCTACTCAGGCGTGGCGGCAACGTCCAGCCACGCTTCCGCCGCCCTGTACCCAGCACCCGGGACGGCAGCCGTAAATGATCTGCTGCTGCGGAACCCCGGCGGCGCGGATCTGGAAGCGGAAGGCTTGTCCCCACGCCATGTGCTGTGCCGGTAAATACACCGCGTTTTCCCAATCAAGTAGAAGGCAAGCGCTGTCCCGGAGCTTTTGCAAATGGAATCAGTTCAGGCCTCTTCAGCAATGCCGGCCCCTGCCTCCCGCGTCTCCCCCAGAAAAGCCGCTCGATCAGGGAGTGGAGCCTCAGTGGGTCTCCCCGGCTGTGTGTTCCATGTCTGCCTGGCGCTTCCACCCCGTGACCCGGCCTTTGCAGGGAATGTGCCCACGGCCAGCGTCTAATCGCCGGCTCTGCCTCGCAGCCCCCCTCCCGCCCTCGCCCGGCTCGGAGCTGCATTAGAAGAACAGGACTCAGCCCACAAATTAATGTGATTTCATTTCCTCCTGAGTTTCAGAAACGAAATGGTTTCTGCCATTCTCTCTCAGAGCACTTTCATTCCGGCTCTTTAGAAATATTCCTTATTTCACATTTCATTTTCCCTTAAGTGCTGCCCCTGGGTAGATGTAATTACCATTTAAAAAGTAGAGAAAGTGCATTTCTTGTCTCTCTGTTCAAAACCAAGAACAGTCCAGGAACAGATGCCATTTGTAGTCGCTGGGATCGGCCATTGCCCCTGGGGATCTGTCCATGCCACTGGGGGAGGGGCCCGCTTCGGGGGGTGGGGGCAGGTCGCCTCCTCCCTTTGCCCTTGCAGCCCGGTTCTTCTACCTCTTTCTTCTCCGCCCCCCCCCCCCACCGTTTTCAAAAATTATTTTAAAAGTATAGTTGACATCAAATGCTCTGTTAGTTTCAGATGTACCACAGGGACGTGGCATTTATGTGCCTCATGGCATGGTCGCCTGCATGCATCCGGCACAGGTCTAGCACCCCGCCTGGTTTTTGCGATGCTGGTGGCGAGGCGAGCGTTCGCTGCCCCAGTGAGTCGCAGCTCTGTCGACGCCCCCACGCCCCCGCCCCGTTCCCTCCAGCCCAGGTGAATAGCCCAATAAGGAGTCCTTCAACCAGACGTTCCCGTTTGTGGACGTTCTGAAGCAAGTCTTGTCTTCCATGGAATAAGCCAGATAAAGCATTTTAGACAGATCTCTGGGCTCCCTGCAGTCTCTTAGGATGGGAACGACAGAGGAAGACTCAGCACAGCACGCGGCCTTCCTAACAGAATGAGGACAGTATTTTCACCCAGCTGCTGGGCACCTTTCATATCCCCAGACGCCTGTCTGGCACTGATTGTGTCAGGCACGTGAGCACAGGAGCGGAGCGGACTGGATTGGAACTAACCAAATGTGTCCCGAACCTCCTTTCTTAATTAGAACATGTTAACTTGGACTCAAGACCCAGGGCGTTCAGCCCCCCATCTTACGCCCCACATCTGCCATTTCCTGCTCCTTGTCATGAGGCCAAGGTGCCCAGCAGTGGCAACAGGTGCAGCGTGTTCCGGGGGAATGACTGGCCTTTGCACGGGGCTGGGCACCCCGGCCTCTCCCAGGATGGCCCCGCAGCCCGGCTCAGGGGAGGTGGGAGGAAAGTGCAGGGGAGGGGGTCCTGGGGAACCTGAGGGGCATTCGAAGCTGCCCCTCAGCATCCAGAAGGAAGTGCCTTGTCCCTGAGGGGAGAGGCTGACCAAGGTTCCCTCCCAAGATTAGGTGACAAGGAATTTCCTGGCAAAACTTGAACCCCGCCCACTCCCTTCTTAGGTGCAGCCGGAAGAAACCCAGCACAGCACCCCGGATCACGCATAATAAATGTCCAGGTTTGCTTCTAGACTTCCCTGCACTGCCCTGGTGATCCCTTTAGAACAGCTGAAAACGTTTCTGTGCATGTTTTAAGACTCATGCACAGTGATCATAAATGTGCCATGGCACGGCCACCAAGGGGACCCCAGACAGCACCCCGTGTTCCCCCCAAGCACACGCGGCACCCACACCGTGTCCACGGCAGCTGTGCTGGAGGAGCCGAGGGGGGCAGGTCCCCAGTGCTCCCCGGACCGGAGTCTGCACCACTGAACGCCGCACGCGGCACAGAACGCAGTACGTTTGTTCCAGCCGAGGAGAAGACGAGGCAGAATTTCAAAAGTGGGGGCACTTCCAGGAAAGTGCTGCTCGGAGCCTGAAGAGAGAAGAGAGATAAGCGCGCACGGCCCCCCCTCACCCGCCTGGCGCCCATCTGTGTCTGAAGGGTCGTCTCCTCACATGCGTTCAGAGCCGGAGCACCGGAAATGGCTGCGCCGGGTGGCACCCACGCCCGGAACGGAACCGGGGGTTCGGTGTCTCACATTGAGTTTCCGGCCCAGCCCTCAAGTTAGCTAGTGTGTTTTTATTCCGCCTGTCAACCATGCATCCCTATAAGTAGATACTAAATAACCTGGTCAAGCAAAAACGGAAACAATGATGATCACAAACAGTAAGCGTTGTCCCAATCAATCCTATACGTGTAGTATCTTAGAATTATCACCAGGATCCACTTCGACCCAGCATTTTAAAACAAAATGCACCCAAAACATGTATAAAGTAACAACAGAGTCCTTGGTGTGGAGATTGCTTTCAGTATTTGCATATTGCAGCTAATTACCGGCCACTGCACCACCACCTGAGGGTCTGCGGGCAGCCCCCCCGTCTGCTGTTACTGTGCAGCGAATTAAAGTGATGGGCATCTTCCAACGCTCAGCTCATCCCAGAGTCCGGCTCTGAGGACTAAAAGCAGTTTACCTAGAACCGTTGCTACCCTCATGATGCGTGGGTTTATGCAAAGGGGACAGACAGCGTGAGCTGCCTGTAGTTCTTCAGCGCCTGCCTAGAACCTCGTGGCACGAAGATGAGGTGAGAGAGGGGCAATCAGTTGATTTTACTACGTACATACAAGGCGAGGCCAGCTGCTCCGGAAACGAGCGCCAACCCCGCATTTGACAACAGGAATGTAATTACGTTCACAGTGAAATGCGCGGCAGTCATGGCTGCGGGTGCCGGGCTGGGCCTACGTCACTTGGCCTCCGTGAGAGCTGCGCCGTTTCATAAATTATCCGTGAAGGGAATGTTACCAGTGCCCCCACTTACTAAGCACGATTAAGCCCTCCCGTCAGCGCGGACGGAAACGCATGGCTCTAAAGGTGCTGCACGCCCATCGACCCCGGGCACCCAGTCCCACGAAACCGTCGCGGTGTTCTGTCGGCACGGATGAACTCGAGGGGCCGACACACCTCTTCACACCTGCTAGAACTGCGTGCACATCAGATTTTATAATCAGCCCGTCTCAGTGATAACAAATCAGTTAGTTAGGTTCCTTCCCGTTACAATGTACTCCGTCGGCAAGCACGAAGTTCTAGGGTCTGGACGTACTGCGCGCCTGTCGGGGCGACGCACAGGACTGAATGAGCCCCCTCTCCGCCCTAAAGCTGACAGCAACGTCTCTGCGGCGTTGGTGCCCCTTCCTCAGTCCGGACTTGCCCGGAGGCCCTGACTGAAAGGCGCTGTGTGCGCAGGAGGCTGCAGGTCTGCCTGATGGTCTCGGAGTGCCGGCGCCGTGGTAGCACCTGGCTTAGTTAGCAGCCTTACTCCAGGGCTCTTGGGGGCGGAGGCTCGGGCGCCTTGCCCACGACTCCATTGGGAAGTGGCTGCGCCGGCTCCCAGGCTTCCTCTGCCTCTGCGGCCCTGACTGTCCTCCCCCTCCCCCGTCCCGTTTGCTTCCCTGTGGGGCCTATGTTGCCTTGACCTGGAGGAGTTAGAGCCAGAAGTAGAGCGTTGAAGAGGTTTAGAGCTAGGCATCACTGAATGTAAGAAAAACTTCCTTGGAGCAGGCGTTTCCGTAAGGGAACTGACAAAGTGATCGCTGATGTGTCCTTTTGTGCCGGGCCATTGGTCACCGGGTGCCCCACCGTGTCCCCCTGCCCCCAGCTCGAGGCTCAGGCTGCCCATGCACGGCCCTCCTTCGCACACCTGAGACAGAAGCCAAAGGGGCTCCTAGAACCCCTAGTGCTCAGGCGTCCGGGACAGGCTGCGCGCGCCCCGCACAGGCGGGACCCTGCCGGGCCTGTTGCTGTGGCTTTCCCAGCGGACGCGTTCACTGTGGCTTTTTCATGCGTAGTTGACTCTATATAAACTGATTGACACCTTTGGGGGGTCGTCTTTCCACGGACTCATAATTTTCCTCGCTCTTGAAGAACGTTTCTGTACACCCAGGATTCTCTAGTGAAAGCTGAAAATTCAACTCATCATATTTACACAATAAAAAAAAAATCCATTCTGCCTTGTTTTTAATTGCAAATCCTCCTCCAGGGAGCTGTTCGCCTGCTCGGGAGGCGGCCCCGCGCCTTCTCCTAGAGAGGCGAGCACAGTCAATTATGGTAATGAAATGTCAATAAATATAAAAATTTCATGCCGCCTGCTCCAGCTGACCGGCACGCGAGCCCTCACCTCCCAGACAGGTTTGCTGCTTCTGCAATATTAAATGCACCTGAAAGAGTCCGTGGGCCCCAGAGCACCCTGGTAAAAACGGACAGAACGCCAGGTACCAACTGGGCACCCCCCCCCAGACATGATTGGTCACTGACAGCCACCCCAACGGCGTATTCTTATGAACGGAACCTTCTGTGCCTCCATGAGGAATCCCAGGTTGGTGCGCCGCTGCGCCAGTTCTTACGAAAGAGGAAAAAAGCTATTTGGGTTTTGTCTCCTCAGTCAAGAGAAGTCCTTATGAAGAAGATCGTGTTTGCCTGTAGGGCGGGATGGGCCCATGATCACAGGACAGCCATAGCTGTTGCTTCTTCGGAAGCAGCAAGAGGAAGGCTAGTCTACATGGGATTCTTGCGGCACCCACAAGCGTGCAACCTCGACCGAGGAGGACTTGAAAACACAGCCCCTGCAGAGAAAAATATTCTGCCTCCCTGTTCCTCCCGTCCTAGTTCTCTTTGGATGGACAGCGTATTTTTCTTCGAACTTATTCATGAGAGTTAAAATCTTACTCTTGTGTGATAATGTCATCTCACAATAGATAAGGGGGTATATATATAATTTAGTTAAAAACTATTCCCTACAGAGCTATCAAAATGACTGGATTTATCAGAATAATCGTGGTGCCTTTATAATGACAGGCGGTGCCTTCAGCTCTGTCCCCAGAGAAAACCACCTGCTAGGAATCTGCACGGCCACCCGGCGGTGCCCACACGGCGCGAGGGCCGCACGGGAAGGCTGCCTGCCTGAGCGTGACTGTCATTAGCACCGTGGTTCTGTGTTGCAGGTGGATTACTCCGTGATAGCGTCGCAAGCTGGGGCCACCCTGAACAGCCTCATGAGCCACGCCCAGGAGCTGGTAGCGAAGCTGCGTTCCCTCCAGTTCGACCAGCGGGAGTTCGTGTGTCTGAAATTCCTGGTGCTCTTTAGTTTAGGTAAGGAACCTTGTTCTCGTACCACGTCCAGCCAGGCGTTCCCGCCTGATGCCAAGCCCGGGGCATCATACGTGTTCTTGTTCTGCCATCGAGATCCCGCCCGTCTGTCCAAATCATCAAGTGCCCCAACGCGAATACGTGTGCGTGTCCGCGCGGCATGGTGCCCTGCGGCAGGCAGGCTGGGGTGCGGACGAGGAGTTATGAGACTGGGTCCCGGGCCCTCCTCCTCAGTGGTCGTGATGAGGAGGTGGCAGGAGCCCGACGCCGTGACAGATGGTTTAACGGTTTATCAAATTCTGGCCACCTTGCTGCCGTTGAGGGTCTGTGCATCTTTCTTGCGTTGTAGATTGCTACCTGCTGCTGTGTTTATGCCTGTAAAAAGGCGGAGTAATTAAGAGCCTGTTTCTTCGGTCTCCACCAGGATTAACTAGAGAGTGTTTACAGCCAGCGGCACCACTATGCTCGTGTAAAAGATGCCCGTTGTCGAGGGGGAAGGGTGTACCTTCAGGAAGGCTTTGGAGGAGAGATAACTAAGCAAGACAGACCAGCCAAATCAAGGTTCTCAGTGAGTCAGAGGAGAAAAATCACCACTCCTTGCAATAAAAAAAGGATTAAGGAGATGGATTTTTATTGACTTCAAAGGAACAGATTTTTCTGCCTGTCCCATACTTGATTTCTGCATTTTGTTGGCTTAATAAAGCCAACTTAAATAAACTTTTTGCCAAGTCCATTTATTACTTATTGGCAGGCGGCTGAGGGAGGCAACTTCCCTTGAATGAAAAAATGGCAGAAATCAGATTGACCAACATATGTTTTTTCTTTAGTCCTCAGTTATAAGAGAGTTGTGAATTCATAGCCTAAGAAATAAAATAAAACAAGCGGCAAAGTAAAACAGATGTGTCTACTCTCCAAATTGGGCACTTTGGTTTGGAAATTCTTCTTGACGTTGTTGCACAACTGTTGCTAATAAAGGACTAGTTTGAAGTAATAGAACCAGAGTTAATTTTTCACATGTAGTCAACATTTAAAGTAAAAAGACCATTTTTATATTTTGGAAAATGTGATAAATATAGAGGAGAGAAATGTTACTGAAAATTTAAGAAGACAACAGGGTTTCATAGATGGAGTGTTCAAAGGTTTATGATGCCGGGACCGAATCCTGTGTGGTTTCTATATTAACCACAATAAACAGGAAAGTTCTAGCCAAGCAAATCTCCATCTTTTACCCAGGAACGGATTTTAGAAAAGTGAAGAGGACGATAGCGCAGGCCTGCCCGCCATAATCGCCCCGAACAGTCTGGGTTGTGGCAAGATACGCATCTCTCCCACTCGTGCATTTGATCAGCAATCGAATGGCAAGTGGGGTAATAATACACGGTTAAGAAATCGCGCAGCATCTCGGCGGTAAAACACTTAGAGAGAGCTCCCTCACCGTCGACGGTATTTTAAGTTCGTTGAATCCCGGTGTTCATCTGAAGGAGTAGGGGTGAACCAGGAGCTGTGTTTAGTTTCCATTGCTTTTATCTTTCCTTCATCGTTTTTCAAAATTAGTATATCCTCTGCCAACGCTGCGGAGCAGGGGAGCTCGGGACCTCCCGCGTGGCCTTCAGAGGGAGCGGCAGGCCTTGTTTCTATTCCCCTCCCCGCCCTCCCCACCCCCGCCTTCTCCTGTTGAACGAATGTATCCGCCATCCGTTGTCCGAGCTAATGAGGGCGCTGTCTCAGCAGCCCACGCACGAGCGACTGCCCGGCCTGACTGCCCCTCAAAACTATGCCTACTGTTTAAAGAAGGGGGAAAACGTGGCTTTCAGATCAGGGGTAATGGTTTTGGCCAAGAGTTTATTTTTAGAGAAGCAGATAAAACGTAACCGGCAGTAAAGTTTGCGTAGTTTCCAATTTGTGAAGGGAAGACTCTTTCCCCCATAGAAACAATAAATAATCAATGTTTGGGGGGCACCGTGGTGGAAGTACACAGGCGATGAACCCTCAGGTCGCCAGGCTGGCCCCCAAGTGCCTGCGTTAGCTCGGAAGCCACGCCCAGGTCCACAGCCAGGACCTGCTGTCCCCCAACCCCCCTGAGCCTGGCACCCCACGCCTGGAACCCGGAATGTTGAGACCCCAGCCCAACCTCTCTGATCCTGAAGGAAAACGAGGTTGTGCTGACCCCTCCGAGGCCGGGAGGGGGGTGAGAGGGTGAGCCGCGCCTCCCGGCAGATTTGGTGAGAGGAGTCCGGGGCGTGAGCCACGCGGTGCGGTCCGAGTCCCGCCCCCGCCGGGGTCCCCAGCACACAGGCAGCGCCGGGAGCGCGCCCTGTGCTCCTACGGCAGCATCTGAACGCATCCGCCCCTGTTGCAGCCCAGTGGGGATGTTACCGTGGCCTACGTGCTCCCAGCGACCAGGCTTTGCCACCTCAGACGCTACGCCGGCCTTTGGGTTTTCTCAGCCTGGAGACTCCACGGCGGGATGCGGCCGGGCTCCCACGTGGCGAGAGAGATGGGACTGGGGGCCTAGTGCCTCCGATTCCCCTGACGCGTTGCCTCGATTCGCCATGAGGTGCCCTCTCTCTGGCCGGCCAGGGCTCCTGGAGGTGCCTCTTGGTCCCAGCCACGTTAGAGAAGGAGCCAGCTCTCTCTCGGGGTCTCCCGGCCTGCGATGCAGCTGTCGCTCGGGGCCGAGTCTCCGGCGTCGGGCGTGGGCTCTACCCGGCTCCCTACAGGCCTCTGTGCAGGAGAAGTCCTGCTCTCGCCCCTGCTCCCCGGGCCCAGGCCTCGCGGTATCCCGGGCTCCCGCGCGGTGCTGGGCACTCGCTGGGCGCTCGGGAAACAGTGCTGATACAGGCGATGCACAGGTAGCCCGATTGCATCTTCAACTCAAAGCAAAGCCTCTCCCAAAGGTGTTTGTGATATATAATTGGGGGCAGTTCAGTCAAAAAGACTTATGTTGAGCGCAGGTTATTTTTCTGGGACTGGTTTTTCCAAGCAACTCTCCAACAGGTGTCTCCTCGACGTTAAACTCCCCCGTGACCAGTTTGCACGCTCCCAACGTACGGCGGGGTGGGCGTGTTTACTTACGAGCTCTTTGGGAAGGCGAACGTGCAGAGAGACGAGCGAATGTTCGTGGCTAAAACCCGTGATGCTGGCATGACTGTTCCCAGCGGACGCACGCCCATCGGCGAGCTGCTCACAGCGCCCCACAGCCGGTGGGAAGGGGTGCGGCCCCGTGGCAAGGGCAGAATCCCGTTCGCAGTAAAATGGGTGGAGAAGACGGTCATGGGTCACCATGGCGGCTCTTTGCTTCCCCAAATATCCAAGTTTTAAATGTGGCGTGGATCACCTCAGCGCAGGTCAGGGCCGCCCTCCTGGGGGCCGACGCCCGGGGGGCGGGCCTTGGGGAGGTCTCGCCTGGAAGGTCACGCCATGAGATGCCCTCACCAAACCGCCGCCTGGTCCCCTGGCAGCGTGCGTGGGCGACGCTTGCCTCAGGATCACCGTGCCGTAGCTCTAGTTCAGAGTGATTACCCTCGCGCACGCTCGCTCACACTCACAGCTCACGCGCTCTCTCACCGACGGGCCCGCAAAGTTGCGTGGCCTTCCACGCCTTCGCCCAGGCGTGTCGGTTACCTGGTTCCCCAGGAGGTCAGGTGAGCAAAGCAGACGCCCGGGGCTCTCTCCCTACCCGTCGTATCTCGTCTCTGTTTCTACCTTCTCCTCTGTGATATTCTAACTTCGAAAAACACTCGCTAGACGCTAGCGAACGCCTGCCCACGTCTGCGCAGCGGCGCCTGGCCGGCAGGTGCACGGCTGGCAGGTCAGCCCGCCCGGCGATGGAAGCCAGTGCAGGACAGCCGGGAGCATTGATTAGCATTCAGCCGAGGCCGCCGCTCAATACTCACACCATGGAGAGTCGGCAGAAGCAAATAACGGCACATAACGCTGATGCTTGTCTTAATTAAATGCACTGTAATAGGTGTTGTGTGGGGGTTTTTTTCCTTGCAGTGAGCAAAGCAGTTTAGCAAGGACCAGAGATAATTCATTTTGGAGTTCTAACTTTGAACTTAATCAATATGTACTTACAGCCGCAGAAGAAGGGATGGCCATTTCTTATCTGCTGGCACAAGAATGTAATTGCCCAGATAGCACTTATTCAGGCATATTTCTGAAGAGCTTATGCCTTCAACTATTTATTATTTTTTTAGGTGTTAATACTAATATTGTCATTTCCCTAACTACTGCTATTATTGAGGGAGATGGCTCTTCAGAGACCGGTGGGTCTGCTACACTGGGCACAGCCAACAAGGAGACGCTGTGGTCGACGCTCCTCCGGCTTAGAAGCAGCGTCCCTGGCTCTGAAAGCTCAGAACTCAGCCCTGTCCCCGCCTGACCGCCGGAGCCTGGACGGTTAACGTGGCAGCCTGGACCCTGCAGGCTGGGTCACTCTGGGCCTCAGGTGTCTTCTAAAATGGGCTCAGTCCACCCGTGACTCACAGCTGAGTCACCCGTTAAACCCTCTCGCCAGTTTGCTGATAAATCCCAGCAAGTCCAGGCTTGAGCTCAGCTTCTGTTGGGTTAAGAGAGTTAAATTCCAAACAGACCGGCCCAAGCCAGGCACCACGGACAAGCATGAACGTTAATGGCCTTCATCTCCTTGAAAGATGAAATTTCACAAAACAGACCGAACGGCTGCCGTGTGCAAAACCATTGCAGAGAACGATGTAAGAACCGGCAGCGTGCCGTCTTTCCAAAGAGCACGGTCCCCACAATTTGATTCGGAACAGCACTGTGGACCCTGGGGACGTTGTTCCAAAGCAGACACTGCGCACCGAGCAGAGTCCAAAACACAACATGCCACGCCCTCCCCCCCCCCACCCCCCGGCCCGCAGGGTCCAGCTGTCTCCACTCAGCTGATTTCGTGCACATTCTGCACATGAATGGCGTCAGCCTCTATGGTGAGCAAAAGCATCTTTCTCAAGTCACACAAACCTGACGGGCGGGGGAGCAAA